TTAAATTAATTTAAATGTCCTCAACAAGTACTTTTGACTTGTTGAGGGCATTGAAATTGATAGAATGATTATATATATAAAAATAAAACGGCAAAATCCCTCTTCATGCTGCAGCCATGTCCCGTATTCCTCGTTTTTCAGCCACTTTTGTTGAAATTCTCCAGCTTTTTCTCTGCCACCGATTTTCTTTTCCGAACATACGGATTTACGATCAACCAGAAGCAGCTCCGTGGAAAAACATTATTTGAATATTATATATTTGACAAAATTGTTTTTATAAATTTTTTTTTAAATAAATCATTTTAAATGCCAGGATCATCACATGTAATGAATTTTAACGCGAATTAAGTCCTTAATTTAAAAAATAATAATTTAATGACTTTTAATGATTTTTAATGACCCTGGGAAACCCTGTCATTGGAAAAGTGTCTCACTAACCTCCTTAATTCAGGAAAAAATGCACTTATTTAGATGTCAATTTTTTGCAGTGTGTGTCAGCGACCTTCAACCCTGAAGTAATCTGGAAACTCTCCGTTTTTTGCTCAAATTCTTGAGTTCTTGAAGCATAAACTTCCTCTAGTAAGTTCTGGTAAATTGATATACTTTTTATATTTACAAAAGTTTAGTAAACTTGAGTTTCACTGCAAACACGGATCCAAAAATCTGTTAAATAATTCTTGAAATTGGGATATTTGCTCTTCATTTGATCCACCAATTATCTTTTTTTTTATTTTCATCTTATTTTTTTTTTTATTTAAACATAATTTATCCTATTCTATTGAAAAATTCTCTTATCTACCGGTACTTAAGAGAAAATGACTTAATTGGATTTCCATGTTTGCTGTGTTTAAAATTCAAAAAATAAAAGGCTGTCAGCGGAACGTTCCAGACATCCTGGAAGGTTAAACAGATCGTCTCCAACCAGAGAGGAAAAATTCCTTTGCAAAAACCTGCTTTAGGCCGACTTCCCAAACCAAAATAAAGTCATAAACAATTAAATATCTTTACCAAACATCTACTCTGACCCTTCAAATTAAAGCTCACTAAATACAGCTTCAGGGAAATTAGTTTTTATGTTGCTAAAATAACTACTAAATACTACATTTTAATAGATTTGCTCTAATTAATGAAATATTATGTTTTAATTTTTTTAGTATTTTGGTGGAACTGTGTTCTTTAATTTTATTGTTTTTGTTTGCGGTCCTTTAGAACATTAAAACCTGATAAGAAAATTTCAAAAATGAGATTGTTTGAAATAAAATGTGAGTTAAAGGAGAACCTGTGAAGTACCTGAGTCTCCAAACGTTCTTCTTCTCTGCTCTCAGTCTGGGTAGATCTCAGCGTCTGAGCCCGGAGCCAGTCCTCCAGCAGCAGGAGGATGCTGAGGGCGTTGTCCTGAGTGATGGGCATACTGGCATCTTGTTCCTGCGGAGGATCCCGATGCTCTCCACCATCAGAGCAGGAACCTCAGCTTCCAAAGCGCATTTCTGAGGGACGAGCAGAGGGCGGACGCCGGGGGAACCCAGGAGGAGTCAGTGGGGTAGAGCTGAGAGGAGGAGCAGGGAGGAGGCTACAGGATCAGACCATCATCTGTAAAAAACATGGAGGAGCTGTCACATCGTAGCAGGAAACATCTGACCCCAGAAAACACAGACACCCTAAAATACACAGAATGACTTCACTCTGTCTGTTTAGGAATATAAGGGAAGAATTTCTATATTCAGATTTTTCATTATTTGGTGCATTTAAGGGTTTTTAATTGGTTATTAAATAAATTAATGAATGAATGAATCTTATTTTATGAGTCTAACCTATGCGTTTTATGGCTTGTAAAAGTATTAATAACCCTCGAACTTTTCCACATTCTGTCACATTAACACCACAAACATAAATACATATAAAATTAAACATTTATTTTACTTTCCTGAAGAGAGCTTTTCTGTAATTCCAGCTGCAGTCGGTCTCAGATGTCTCTCCGCTAGCTTTAAACATCTAGTGACTGAAGTTTTTGCTCATTGCTCTTTGCAAACCAGCTAAAGCTCAGAGCGTTTGTGAACAGGAGTTTTCTGATCTTTCAGCAGACTCTGGATTTAGGTCTGGACTTTGACTGGGCCGCTCCAACACCTGAATATGAACCGTTCTGTTTTAGCCCTGACTTCATGTTTAGGGTCGTCGTCCTGCTGGCCTCGTCTAAAGTCCCTTGCTTAGACAACATGTAAATTGAATCATTCCTTAAAAGTAAAAAAAAACAATCCACTGGACTTGGTTTCCAAGATTTGAAGACGTTTCTCTACCTCTCCAGGAAGCTTTCTCAATTCAATTTAAGAGAGAAAAAACAACTTTAAACAGAGGTGGTGGACTTAGATTCAAGCTTCCAAAAACTTACAATTCAGTTATAGAGATGATCCCTTCCAGATATCACCACACCCCCCACCCCATCACAGAGGAGCAAAGCACCTACCCGCTCCAGCCGGTGAACAAT